TACACAAAAAGTTCAAAACCAAAATCCTCGACCACACAAACCCCCTAATCCAAGAGACTTTTTCCCGAACAATCAATCCCAAAACTCCACTTCAAATTTCCCAATAGTCTAATGGCAGACCCCCCTTTGAAAACACCCACCTTAAGAAAAAAAAACCCGGCTTAATGAAAAACAAAATTTAAACACATTGAAGATAAATTAGCAACAATAAAGCCAGTTTCTTCCAAACTACCCAAAACTTACCTCTTCTTTTTAAGTGGATTTTTTCTCATTTACTGATCTCAGGCCAATAATCCCCTACCTCACCCAGGCTTACTCATAGGTCAGCACTAAAGACTAAAAGCCTTAACTGGCTAAGTCTAAAAAAACTTTCAACACACGGCCTACTGAAGCTCTCGAGTGGGCAAATCGCCCACCCGAGATGAAAAAAATAAGGAATAATTTATATGGCTATACAACGTTTGCCGGGTCAGCTAGTTTATATATAAAATTTGCCTCCCCATTGGCTTGAAACTCAATAACAACCGCAACAGATTCATCCAAGTGGAGACCGCGTTCTTCTGGAAATGGTGGCAAAACGAGAGCGACGACTTGAAGGCCAAGCTGAAGACTTTAGTGGAAAATGGCCAGCTGGAGATTATCAATGGAGGCTGGTCGATGAACGATGAAGCTTGCGTGAACTACCAGTCGACTATTGACCAGTTCACCTGGGGATTCAGGTAGAATTCGCAGGATTTTCCCGGGGAAACCCAAAGTTGCCTGATCTTTGCAGGATCCTGAATGAGACATTGGGCGAATGTGGAAAACCCACTTTTGGATGGCAAATCGACCCGTTTGGACACAGCAGAGAACACGCGTCCATTCTCTACCGCTTGGGCTTTGATGGGCTGGTTTTCTCCCGCTTGGACAAGAACGACAAGAGCCTGAGGAAGGAGAACAGCGACTTTGAGTTTCTATGGCAAGGCAGCGCCAACGATGGTTAGTCCAACTTCTCTTAGTCCAGCCCAGATTGGCAAGTTTATCTCTTAAATAGAGGACAATGTTGTATTTGGAGCGCTAACACCTGAGGACATCTACTACCCCCCTAGCGGCTTTTGCTTCGACATCCTATGCGAGGATGACAAGATCATCGATGACCCGGATGACGAAGCCTTCAATGCAGAGGCCAGAGTAAGTTTCATTAGGGAAGAGTTTTCTTCGCTTCTATCTACTGATATTGCAGGCCCAAGCATTTGCGGACAAAGTCAAAGAGCAGGTCAAATGGTACAAGACCAACCACCTACTGGTGACGATGGGCGGAGACTTCCAATATCAAGCGGCTGAAATCAACTTCCAGAACTCCGATAAGCTGATCAAGTAACAGTAGCGGCCACAGCTTCCAAATTCGTAGACCGCCAGCTTGGATTTTCCAGGGCCTTTGAACACCACGAGGACATCAAGCTGATCTACTCAACGCCCTCTTGCTACCTCAAAGCTGTGTACGAAGCCCAGCCCACCTTGCAGGTTAAAACTGATGATTTCTTCCCTTACGGTAGTGCTGATCACAGCTACTGGGCTGGGTACTTCACGTCGAGGCCAAACTTTAAGCGGTTTGAGCGTACCAGTCATAATGTTCTTCAGGTTGGTGCCCATCCAGTGGACCTCACAGCTCACCTTTACGTATTCTCCTCTTAGGTGGCAAAGCAGCTCAGCGCCTTAGCTTTGGCCAGCGGCCAAGAGGCAGACGTCGACTCTTTGCGGGCCTTGAGGGAGAACATCGGGGTGGCTCAACACCATGACTCCATTACTGGCACGGCCAAGCAACACGTTTCCAAAGACTACACCAAACTGCTGGCACGCGGAGTTAGTCAAGCAGAAGCGCCGTTCACCAAACTTCTGGAGTACGAATGCAGACATTGTCCCCAATGGGGTAACCTTGGAAGTTTTCCAGAGGTCTTCTGGAGGTGGATCTCTCGGGCTCTGTCAACCTCACTTCGTGCCTCCTGGCCAACATCAGCGTCTGCACAGCGAGCCAGACATCGGAAAACTTGCTGGTGGTGGTCTACAACCCGCTGTCCTGGCCGGTGGACTTTCCTGTACGTTTGCCAGTGGATGAGGGCAGTTTTATTATTGTTGGGTCCGATGGGGTCGAGGCCTACGATGTGACTACGCCGATTTCCAGTTTCTCCTACGTGAAGCTGGACGATGCGAAGCCGGCGGCGCGGGAGTTGGTGTTTATCGCCTCCCAAGTCCCGCCACTCGGGGTGAAATCCTATGTGATAACCAAGGATTTGGTTAAAAACAGCCGCTCTGCAGTTGAGCGGAAGTTGGAGGAGGACGTCCTCAAGTTCGGAGATGAGGTAAGACCTTGGGAGGTCTGTTCCAGGAACTGATTCATGCTGCAACTCAAATAGAGCGCAGGGTTTGAAATCGACGAAGAGACCAATCTGCTGAAGTCGGTGACAATGAACGGAGTGACTTTGCCAGTGAGCCAGACGTTCTTGCATTACCTCAGCCACGACGGGAGGGACGACAACGATCCCTCCGGAGCCTACATTTTCCGACCGGACGGCGAAATTATCCCCTTCAATAAACCTGCAATTCTGTCGAAGACGCAAGGAGAGGTGGTGGACGAAGTCCACCAAAGGTTCAACGAGTGGATCACGCAGATTATCCGAGTCTACAAGGGCGCGCAGAATTACATCGAGTTTGACTGGCTGGTTGGTCCGCTTAATATGTGAGTACCAATAGTTTAGATTTGCGTGGTTTTTTTTT